GATTGATCATTAAAACTGATACAAATTGTAAAGAAAAAAATAAAAGAGAGGAGGATGAAGAAGAAAGTGGCTAGGGTTTAAGAGTATAAGACAAAACAATTTTATTTATATTACTAGTAGTTTAAATAAAAAATTTAAAATTTTATAAAAATATCACATGTCATATTTTGAGTGTTTGACAATTTTTTTTAACGGTTCATGTCAAATCAGACACTTAAAATGCTAATATTAAAAACGTTATACATCTATATTAACAAAAAAAATATTAGACACCTAAAAGGAAAGAGGTATAGTTTGAGTACTTTTTATAATTAAGCCTTCATTTTATTAATTTATGAAAAACTACAAAATAAAAATTATATTTAGGGTAAACTACACGTATAACCACTTAATTATTGAGATTGTATTTTGATCGACGACCTTTAATTTTTTTAATTAGACCATTTAATTATTTTATTGTTATCAATCAAATCACATATCGTTAATATTTAGAGTGATAGTTACAAATTTATATATTTATACGTATATATTCAATCTATTTAATATTAATTTTAATTTAACAAATTTAATTTTCTAATTATATTATTGGAATGTTCGATGAAGCTAAATTGACAACCGAATATTGCCGAGAGGGGTTGAAGTAGATTTTAAAAAAATAGGGATTAAGGAGATTTAAAAGATGAGAAAATTGATGCACAAGGATTTATAGTAGTTCGACTTTTCAACCAAGTCTACGTTCACTATTTTAGCTCATCGCTAAGGATTTTCTAACAAATTCACTAGTTTGTTCTTTTTTTTCACAATATAAAGATATAACCTTTACAAATCCCTGTATTTTCAATGGATAAGATAGAATCACTCCCCTTTTACAAAGGTAAAAAGAATGTAAACAAAAAACCTCACAAGTTAGATGTTTACAAAATTAAGCTCACTAAAACACTAATACTTATAAGAGAAATGAAAATAGGAATGAAAAACTCTTCTCTTGTGTATGATTGCTTGGATAGGTGTTATAACCCTTTTTCAAGTGTCCTCAACTTGTTTTTATAGGTTGGAATGTGTTTGTGGTCGTTTCTAGCCATTGGGGATGATTTGGAGCCATTGGGGATAATTTTTCTGCAAAATAAAACTGTCCGAGATAGGGAGTATCGATACTCCTTTAATGAGTATCGGTACTTCCTTTATAAATTTTAAATCAACTAGTCATTACTAGCCGTTGGGCTTGACCAGTATCGATACTATTCTCATGGTATCGATACTACTGTGTAAAGTAGTATCGGTACTCATTTTGAGTATAGGTACCTATTTGGCATTCTGAAATTTGAGACAATTGATAGTATCGATACTGTAAGAACATTATCATTATTACGTACCCAGAAAAATATTTTGTGCTCAAATTCTAGTTTAATAGACTTTGAATTATTTTTTAAAACTTTTAATAAATTCAATCAAGTCCAAAAAAACATTTTGCCAAAATTTGTTATATCAAAATATTATAAAACATGGTTCAACATATATAATCACACATTTTACCTTATTATTAAAAGATAAGAAATTGAAGAAGAAATAGCTCCAAGGGGTATTAAACCTAAAGCTAGAATAGACATAACTATACCTTTAAGCCAAATTCCATATTCATTCCGTCTTGTGATTTGTGTCTGATATTAGTTATGCACATATTTTTAGGAGATATATTTGATCAAGGGTAATGAAAAAAAATATTCTTAAAAGATGGTTGATAAATTCGACATATTTGTTTTAATAGGTGTAAAAGAGTGAAGCATATGAAGGTAAAAAGGAAAATATAAGTGTCGTCATTTATTAATTTTTCTAATAAAACATTTTGAATTAGACAAATTTAAAAACTAAAAGAGACATGTTTAGTAGCATGAAACGAGTATATATTAGTGAATTAATACATTTGTTATATATCTTGTTAAAATCAAAAGATGGAAAAAAATGAAATTCTTTATGGTTTTCTATGTAAAAAAGACACTGCCTCGAAAAAGACTTCTCGAAATGATAATGTCACGGGGATGTATTTTTATCATACGTATAAGAAATAGATATCATTATGAGAAGGATTAATTAGAAAATAAGTGTTTAAATTATATCTTTTTTTTAATTAAATGTTTGAACTTTTTTCGATTCATTCAGGTGTTTAACATTCTAAACGTGTTATAACTTTAGATGCATCGGTCGTAACAGACGTTAAATTCTTTTGTTAAAAGACACGTCACATTCTAGTAGTTTAAAATTTTATTTAAGTTTAGAATTTTAAAATAATATTATATTTTAAAAAAAACCCAAAAATTCTAAAAAACTTGAGAAAAAAAAACCAAAACTTTAAAAACTCTAATTTAACCCCTAAATTTATGTCGACCGCCGCCGTCTGAACTTCCACCTGACCTCACCTTCATTCGACGACCTATAACCCCATGAAAAGCCACCCGAGCAGGAGCAAAATTGACAACCAATCAACGTGTGCACCCATATGAAGCTCTACGTTGCAAATCACTATCCCATGAGATCTCGACAAACAATCGATGACAAGGATGCTGATGTCAGACTATGAATATGTCAAGGATGACATCAACGATGGTGATTGTGGTAGACAAAGATGGTGTCAACGAGTTATGGTCACGTATTAGATTTTTTTAAATGATTTAAGAGAAATTAGGATTACTTTTTAAAATATAATAATTTTTTATTTTTTTCAAAAAAAATAAAATTATCTGAATTACCAAAACATGACATTTGACATTTAATGGAGTTTTTTAATAGATGTTACGGTTGAGAGACCTAAAATGATAACGTTTGTAATGTTAGGCACTTTAATGAATCGAAAAAAAGTTTATAGACACCTACTTGATAAAAACGGTATACTTTGGACACTTATTTTCTTATTAACCCTTAGAAGAATCAAAAGTTTTTAATAATATTTTAATAAAAAATAAAAAAAATTATTTTAAAAAAATATCCATGCACTAAAATTAATCTGATATTAAGTACAATACTTAAGTGCCTCGTAGCAAACGATCCTATTTTACATATATCTCAGGGTTTTGTTTTGCCGTTGGATTAAATTCTTCCATTCTTAAGTTAATTTAGACCGTCAGATTTCGATGCATGATGATGGAAAAGATAACTTCAAGTCGGTTGGGAACTTGGGTTTTATTCTTATGGGAGGCTGACGGCGTTGGTTGGTGTGATCTTTTGTTATTTTTATTTTGTTCACTATCAATCTTTTGATTTTAATCAATTAGAACTATTTTATTTTAATCAAACCATTATCCGTTAACTTTTAATGGAAGAAGTGACGTGGTAGTTAAAAAACTTGGTATGATTATATATTTGGTCCTTAATATTTATATATTTCCTATCAATTTGATCATAATTTAATTTGATTAAAATAAAATTTATTCTCCAATTAAGCGGTGACTTATATCATTACTTGATTGGAGAATATTTTTATAATTATTTAATCTTATTTATATATTTTTATGATTGTATATTTGATCATTAATATTTATATATCCTATCAATTTAATTTGATTAAAATAAAATTTAGTCTCTAATTTAATGGAGACATGTGTCACTACTTGATCGGAGAATTTTTTTATAATTATTTATTTATTTAATCCAATTTATATTTTCTCTATTGAGTGAGGAAATTAAAGGGTGAAATAATGCACGAGAAAGGTTTGAATTTAATTTGACAATTAACACTCAATCATCCTACTGCAGTTGTTGGTGCTCGAACCCGTTGTCACTAGGAATAATAACGATTCATTTAATAGTTATATATAATATTAAGAATAAGTTATATAAAATATGTTGTGTTTTTGAACTAAATAAGTTGGTTAGCTCAGTGGTTCATGCATGTGTGTCACCCTATTGACTCAAATTAAAATCATGTTGGGTGCATTATTTCATCCTTTCATTTTCACTTAATAAGGTAGTGACACGTCACCATCTTATCGGAGTAAATATAAATTTGATTAAATAAATTTATAATTATGAAAATATCCTTCAATTAGATAGTGACACGTGTCATTATCTGATTGAAGATTAAATTTTATTCTAATCAAATTAAATTAAGATTAAATTGATATAAAATATAAATATCGAGGAACAAATATGCAATTATAACAAGTTTTTAATTGCCACGTCCCTTCCTCCGATAAAGTAAGCGGACAATGGCTTGATTGAAACATTTAAATAGTTGGATGATTTGATTGATTAAATCAAAACATCGATGATTAAAATAAAATCTGGCAATAATTAGGTGGTCACCAGTGTAGTTTACTCCCTTAATATTTTGGTATAAAGGAATTTTAGTCACCAAATTTAACAATTTTACCAATTTAATCTTTAAATTTTGTTTTCATCCAGAGTAGTCCATGGATTTGTAAACAAATTTTTATTTTGATCCTTTTATGTTGTGGCGTTTTAAATTGTTATTTTTTATGGGTGTTTGTATCATTGGAATGAATAAAGATCAATAAAATATCTATGTTCAAGGATTAACACAAACAAAAGAAGTTAAACAATAAGTTGGAAAAATATCAAATTCAGGAACTAAAAGTTGATTTATCCCCAATATTTATAGGGTAAATTTATATTTAGTACTTTAACTACCACTTTTATTTCATTTTGGTCACCCAACTTTTTTTAAATTACACCTAACATCTAATTTTGATTTCATTTTAGTTATATGCCTTTAAAAACTTAACAGTGACGCTAGCATATCACCATAAGGTAATGTCACATTAGCAGTCCTCTTACTTTTTAAATGATAGATGACTAAAATAAAATCAAAATGTAACATTATGTATGATTTTAAAAAAACAGTTGGGTGACCAAAATGGAACAAAAGTGATAGTTAAGGTACTATACGTGTAGTTTACCCATATTTATAAACCCTACTTATTTCTCAAAATTATAAAAATATCCCCCAAGTAATTCAAATTTAAAATATTGGTCCTTTAATCTCTCTGTTTAACTTAAAAGCCCTAAAAGAACTTAACCATCCCTCCGCCCTCGCCCCCAAAACTCAAAAATCACAACAAAGCCGCCATTGTTGCAGGTCCGGAAAACCTCCCGTTTTTTTTCTTATTGAATTGATAAAATAGTAGAAAAACTAAATTGTATTGCCTTCTGTTCTTAGGTGTTTCTCGAAATATTAGGGAAAATGGGGAAGTTAGGGAAAAAAGCGAGGAAATTTGCGAAGAAGAATCTTCAATCTGTGTTGAAAAGAAAACGGCAGTTGAAATCTATGTTCAAAAGGAAGGCTTCTAAAAGTAATTTATGTTTATTTTAGTAAAATAAAATGCGTTTCTATTGCTTTGTCTATGATTTTTTTTTTAGTTCGAACTGTGGTTTGTTCATCTAGTATTGGGTGTAATAGTTAAATTTGTCAACGAGAACTCTTATTTCTGGTGAAAATTTTACAGGAGATAAGAAGGAGGAAGCAGAGAACCTTGAAGAAGATCAAATAGGGAAGTCGAATGAAAGGTAAAATTTGGTTATGATCATCTGTTTCATTTATATTCTCTCCTTTGCTTTTTAAATTCTGCTTCTAATTGTGCTTCAACGATGCTGATAAGTGATAGTTTGCATTTTCTTAAAACATTTAAAATACATTTTCAGAGGCTTCGAAAGCAAAAATATAGAGGATACTGAGCTTGATGCAGTATTTGGTGATGAGAGCGATGTGGTTGAAGATGATTCCGGCAGCGATGGATATTTATTTGAGGTTTTGAAATATAAAACTTCTTAAAATCTTCAGCTGGCTTTCTTTTGAGGGAAGAAAGGGTTTCCCATATTGATGTTTGAAATTTGAATATATTGATTAGGACTCGAGCTGTCCGTCTCTGGATGAAAATGGAACTCAGAGTGATCAAGATGGTGAGGCACTATGAACAGTTACTCCTCTGTGTTCCCCCCTACTGTTATTGCGAATATTTCCAATTCATTTTCCTGTGCTTTCATAGATATTGATGTAGACAACGGTGGTACTGGTGATTTGTTGGAGCAGAACAGGGCAATTCATTTAGAGCTTGCACAGAAGAAGAAAAAATTAGAGAGGTTGCAGAAAAAGGTATCAGGTCTTATTGACATCGAATTGCAAATTTTGTGAGATTATATAGTGTTTTGAGTCAAAGATTGGTTTGTTCTGATTCCAACTAGGAGTTAAAGACGAACTTCATGCTGATATACTCAAATGAATGCCTCATTAGAATTGTATACTGCAAACAATACTTGAATTAATTACTTAATATAAATGCTTAGTCAGATTTATTTGCTCTTTCGTTCTGACTGAGCTTTGGATTGTATAGGTTTGTTGTTACATAAAATTCACAAATTGTTGCTACTATAATTTTTTTTCATTGATCATTTCTACTATGTTAATGTCAGGATCCTGAATTTTCTAAGTTTCTGGAAAGCTATGAGAACGGCCTTGGGAAATTAAAGAATGAGGAATATGTAAGTTCTTTAATGTCGTTTTTTGCCAACTAGATTATGTGTTAATTGTTATTAGATCGGAAATTGCGTCAATCTTTTTAGTTTTTTGTTTTCTCGGTATCATTTGCTCTTGATTTGCGTTTGTTTGCACTTAGGTTACAATAGGAAAGAACCTACAAGCTTTTCTAACGTTGATCCTAATTTTCTGTGTCAGAAGATTATGAAATTGTAAGTCTTGGGGTGAAAGCAACACTTACAATTAATATTTAGTGTTGCATGGTGCAAATTAAAACCAAAAAAAAATTAGTACCACCAAGGTTAGATACTGAGATGTATGATATATCTTGTATGGAGTAAAGGGAATATATTGACGTATTGTGCTCCTTTCTTTGCCTGAGATATTATGATTGCATGCTAATATGGCATGTTATTGAAGAATTATGAACTCGTGATCATTTGCTAGTATTTCAGAAAATAGAAGGAAAAGTAGTGGAATTCTTTGATTCCTCCCTTCTGCCCTTATTTTGTCCATCTGATGGCAGTGCCTTTCTGAACTTTTTATTTTTTACCTTTTGTGACAGTATTCCGATGAGGACAATACTAGTGAAGATGGCACAGAAAGTCCTGAGAAAGGCACTGTAAATTTAAGAAAGGACAAGTTGTTGACTAGCTCTGCTCTTAATTTTTTGTGCCAATTACTCAGAGAGCATCATAGTATTTCTGCACTTACTAGTTTATTGAATGGGTATAGAACTGCATGCCATTATGATCTTCATGATGTTGCCTCGTGCTGTGGACATCCAGACAGCAAAGCCTTTTCCAAGATTTTAATCTTCATGCTTCAGGAGGCTGATAATATTTTTCGAGAAATGCTTGGAATATCATGTTCTAGTTGCAAAAAGGAGACCGTTTTAGAGTTGAAGAATAGTTCAAAATGGAAAACTATGAAGCCACTAATCAAGTCTTATTTGAGAAGTACACTGTTTCTTCTGAATCAGGTTACTGACTCGGAGATACTCGCCTTCTCCTTGGTTAAAATCAGAGCCTCGGTAATATTTTTTGCTGCTTTTTGTCCGTTGCTGCAAAGACTAATCAAGGTATTGCAATCCATGAGATATGACACTTGATATATATATTGTGATCAGTTTTGTAACTTTTGTTAGTACTAGTAGTTTTAGGATATAGAGGAATGATAATATTGTTTATACTATTCAGTTGGTATATATGTGGGAATTAGGAGAATGCAAGACATGAGGAATCTTGTAATAATTCTTTTAAACTTTCATTTTTTGTTCTTATATTTCCATCAATACCTTCTTGCTATTGAATAGCTATCTAATTATTACTTTTTTCATACTCAGCAATAACACTTTAAATTGATTACAGATTGCAGTTCACCTATGGGTAACAGGTGAAGGGACTCTTGCATCACATTCTTTCCTGGTCATAAAAGATGTGGCTTCTGTGTTTAGCTCAGATTGTTTCGACTCATGCTTGATTAAAACATATAAGGCCTTCATTGGTCACTGCAAATTTGTCGATCCAGTATCTTCCAAACACATTCAGTTTCTGCGCAATTCCTTTATTGAGCTTTGCTCTCAAGATGTGCAAAACTCATCCAAAAAGGCATTTGTCTGTGTGGAGCACCTTTCTAAGATATTGCAGACGGGTCTACAAACAAAGAAGAAGGTATGCATGCTCATGTCTTTCGTGTTATCATTTAATTTGATGAGACACGATTGGACATTGTTTCATTATACTTTTAATTTGATCCTATGGATATATGTAGTTCATTATTACTCTGATGTTATTAGGCAAGGCCAAGGTTTTGATGTTGCTTGTTTGTTATTGCTTGTAAGCAGGAGGCTGTAAAAAGGATATGCAGTTGGCAGTATACAATCTGCGTTGATCTCTGGGTTACATTTATATCAGCAAACATACACGATTATGATCTTCAGCCATTGTTATACGTTATCATTCAGATTATCAACGGAGTAGCTGTCTTGTTTCCTGGACCAAAATATTTGCCTCTAAGAATCAAATGCATTCAGTGGTTGAATAACCTTTCTAGTGCAACTGGGGTTTTCATTCCTGTTGCATCATTTGCTATGGATATTTTGGAATATAAAACTGGAAAGGTCAATGGAAAACCCGGAAAAGATTTCAACTTCTCTTCCACCATAAAGGTTAGGATTTATCATCATTGTTACTCTGAATTGAAATGTCCTTTGCGCGCAAGATCTATGTAGTCTTGCTATAATTAACCTGGATGTTTTGATGCAGTTGCCGAAACATTTGCTAAAATCTCGAAACTTTCAAGACAAGTGTGTTTCGTCCGTCATTGAATTACTTGCAATGCACTTTGCTCAATGGAGCTGTCACATAACTTTTCCTGAGCTGGCTACTATTCCTCTCATCTGCCTCAAGAAGTTTGTTGAGACTACAACCACTGAGAGTTACCGGCGTGTGGTGAAGCGATTTATCGATCAGGTAAGGACTTTTCGGAACTTGCAGTTGTATGTTGTTCGAACCAGCTCTGTCTTGTTAGTGTTGAGCTACATAGGAATAGAAGAAAGTAATCTCAAACCTCCTCCCTGAAAAGAAAATGCAATCTTTTACATCGTGCTATGAAAAAAGAAAAAATAAGTGAAAATAGGAAGAAGATGATAAAAGTTCAGTTCTTTCTGATGTTTTAGGTGGAGCAGAACATTGAATTTATACAGAGGAAGAGAGATGAGGTGGCATTTTCACCGAAAGATCATCAATCTGTCGAATCATTTCTTCAGGTTTACCTTCCTTTACTTCAAAATTATATGTAAATTGTCTATAATTGTAGCGAAGGGATTTCCTGAACTTCATAAATGGTTGGGATGCAGTATGAAAAGTCCAATGCCAAGGCTCCATTCACACAATATTACAAGAGTATAATCGAGAAAGCGGCTTCCTCAAAACTGGTTATGAATCAGAAGATAAGGTGCCCTTCTTTCTTTCTCTCTTTCTTGGCTCTGATCTTTACACTTCTTCGGGTTTTGGGGTGGGGAAAGAGGGGATGCTTTATGATTCTGGCGCCATTTCAAGTTATTGTTTAGCAACATCATGAATGCCGAAACACATTGATGTTCATTTAGAACTAACCCGTCATTGGTACTGCAGTTCCTTGCCTCAATCGAAAAGACAGCTGCCAAACGACACCGTCCCTGTGAATGCCATTGATGAAGTTTTGGAGGGAAATAAAGTGGAGATGTCGACTAACAATGGAAAAGTCCGAAAAACGAGCAAGAAAAGGAAAACATAAGATAGACACCCTGCCATTGCCTCCGTCTACTAATTCGTAAGAGTAGGCAAACTTATTCTTCATTTTATAGATCGATTATTCAATGATTTGTGTTTGTAAAGCAGAAATGCGAAGGAAAATTTTGTTAGCAAAAGGTGGGTTTGAACATCAAGGCAAACAAGTTTTGCATGCGACATTAGTTATAGGAGAATCAAATCTTGGATTATCTGTTGGTTTAGATTCTGTTGATGGTGTTCTTCGTTTATCGGCGATAACGATCTGAACGAATTTTGCCGTTATTAAGATGAAACCTTTACAATTGATTTATGGTTGGTAAGTGGTGAAAGTTGTGTTTAATTGGAGAGGGGAAGACCAGGGTTTCAAATCGTAATCGCATTTTTGGTCATTTCGTGTTTACCGTGATTTCGGCCGTCGCGGGCGCCATTACGGGTGTAGCGGCTAATTCGGAAGGTGAAGCTACCGCTATTTCGCGGGCACTATCACGTTTTCGGACCACATTTTGAAACCCTGTGGACGACCCGCTCTTGCTCTCCCCATGGACGAGACGACAATGGTTTTATTTGATATATTTATTGTACAAATTACACATATAATCACTCAGCTTTTTTTCACTCTTATGTTGGTAACTAAAGTTTAAAAATTTTCAATTTAAATTTTTTTTATAAATATGTATAAATAAAAGGCGGTATATATTCAATATTTTTTCAATCATTTAATAATGAATGATCATACATCTGGCATTTGTAGTACTCGAACTTGAGATCTCGAGAGATAATAAGTCTCTTAATAGAATGATGACATGGCATTTTAACTCCAACTTTTTTCATTTATTTAACTTTTCAACTTTCTAATTTTTTATATATTTCATTCTTTATTTTATTTATTAAGCTTTGTCATATTCTATCATGTTGAAAATCATTGTGATCATGAATTCATCCATATCAACCATTTCATTGCCATTGGTGTTCATAATATTTGAAAGATACAGATTCAAAAAATTGGAATTTTATATGTTCAAATTTTGATATCGAAAGGATAGAATACATTTTTTGTGATATTTAATTAAAAATGATGTTTATTTCTATAAATTATTTATATTATCTATTAATATCAATAATCATTTCTTTAACAATGCGGATTTGATGAGAAACGGGTAATATAAACGATTTAATTTTATATAAATTTATCTAAATAAATATTTTTAATTGAATTAAATTAATTCTCAATAAATCCTTGGCGAGGAAGATAAATATTATAGTTTATATAAATATAAAATATTTAAAATATAAAAATCAAATTAAAATTTAATAGTTACACAATATTAAAATATAATATAAAGTAAAAATAAAAATATATTATTATAACTATATTACTATAAAAATAAAATTATACATATTTGTTTATCTATATTTTATATTTTTCCAATTGAAGAAATTATTTAATTAATAATAATATATAAAGTGAATGAAAATTTAAATTTAGTATGAACAATAAAGTTATCCATTTTTAGTTGTATCAATATTTTTTTTATTTTTTCTCTCTCTAAATTTTATCACGTTGTCGTTAAATATCCTTTTTAATTTTAATTTTTTAAAGTACTACAGATCAAGATATAAAATCAGTACCTCATTAAAATTTTAAAAATTATTTATATTTATTTTTTAAATAATTTGAGATAATTTAAACAAAGTAATTCAAAATTTAAGTTAATTTGAATTTTTTTATCTAATAACAATTCAAGTAATGACATTTTCATCCTTAAACTTTTTTTAAAAAAATATTTTAATCTTTTTTTTTTGGCTTTTAATCTAGGGATGGGCATGAGACCCAGATCCGACGGATTTCGACCCGACCCGATCGGGTCGTTTTAAAAAAAATAGATTCGGGTCGGGTCGAGTCGAGTTTTTTTTTTATTGTGATGTTCGGGTATGACCAGATTTGAGTTTAGGGTGAAAAATATCCGACCTGACCCCAAAAAATATATAATTTTACCTTATATATTTAGGAATAATTACAATAATACCCCTCTATTTTTTTCCAATTAAGCCATTGTTTTTATTGAATAAAAATATTTTTTTATTATTTCGGGTCGGGTCTGGTTTTTAAGTTATATATCGAGTCAGGTTTGATTTTTAAGTTATATATCAATTCGGGTCGGTTGAAAACTTGTTTTGGTCAGGTCTCGGGTGAATGACTCCTTGTTCTCGGGTCGAGTGGACCAAATACCTTACCCATGTCATCCCTATTTTAACCCTTAAATCTTTTTTTCTAATAAAAAGAAATTTCTTATTGATTATATCATATAAAGAGAAACGTATTGTGTAACATATTCACTATAAATAATATAAAAGAATATTATTTTCATAGATAATCTTTAATAAATCTTATAATCATAAATAAAAAATATATATTTAAATAATAAAATAAAAAAGTAAAACAATTAAACCAAAATATAATTTCCCATTGTTCTCGAAATCTTCCTTTTCTTTGTCCCCAAGTATTTTCCTATGCGCCATATAATTTTTCTATTTACCACGTCATCCGGGTCATCTTATCTGGAAACGACCCGGATCCGATACCAAAATAAAATCAATGCCACGCTCATCTTAAGCGCGTAACAACATATCACCAATAACAACCGTCCGTTCAAAGCACGTCAATCGTAAAACACGTGGACATGAAAGCCATCCGCCACTAGGAAACCGGAGAACTTACCTATCAAAAACGAATACGAAAAAGGGCATTTTAGGAAACGTAAAATAGGGAAACCAGACTATAAATAGATACGAGAGGCACACTCGAATTCCCTACTAGAGTCGCTCTCGTTCTCTCCTCCCTCCACTGTTTCGGCATTTGATCTATCCTTTGAAAGGTTCGATTCTCAGATCCTCAATTTCATGCTCGTTTTCGATTTTGTTTTGGAAGATCGATTTGTTGTTCTGTATTTCTCGATCCCGATTCTCATGTATCGGTTTCTGTTTATGATCTTATTTCCGTATTTGTTATGATTTTGAAGATCTGATGGCTCTGATTATTTATTGGGAATGCTTTTGTTTTTCTTCAATTCCCTTGCGTTTCGATTCGGATATTCTCTTCTTAGATTTGATGATAGAAACGATATTTTTATGTGAATTATTTTGATTATTTATCTTTAGATATATTTATAGCGTGAATAAATCATGAATAATTATAAATTAGATTACAGTATAATATCTCGATTTTTGTTTTAAATTAAAAATTATCCAGGATTTTTTTGTTATTAAGTCATTTCTATGAGAAACTCTGTTTTATTTTTTTATTTAAATCTGCGACTTTTATGTGGATCATTTGTTTTTGTTTTTATGTGAATTATTTTGTTCTTTTATCTTTAGATATATTTATAGCATGAATAAATCATTACTAGTTATAATTGTATTATATAGAATTAGAATCACTGTATGTTAGAATTAAAATTTACAGTAAAATATCTCGATTTGTGTTTTATAGAGAATTATCCAGGATTTTGTTGTGATTAAGTCATTTCTGTGAGAAACTCTGTTTTATTTTTGTTTTTAATCCGCGAATTTTATGTGAATCATTTATTTTTATTTCTGTGTGTAATTATTTTGATTTTTTATATCACGAATAAATCATAAGCGAGTATAGATTAAATTATATTAGAATATCATGAATTGTGTTTTAAGTTTAAAATTATCCTGGATTTTGATGTGATCAAGTCATCTCTGTGCGAAAATCTATTTTGTTTTTTAAATAAAAAGTTATCCAGGATTTTGATGTGATCAAGTCATCTCTGTGAGAATCTTTTTTGTTTTTATTTTAAACCTGTGACTTTTCTGTGGATAATTTGTTTGTTGTTTTCATTTGATTGTATGAGTTTAGGGGGTGTTTGGTTTAAGGAATGTGAGATTTTCATAGGAATGAAATTCATATTTCCATGTTTGGTTGGTCGGGAATCTCATTCTCGGTAATGTTTTATTACCAATAGTAGAATTTTTGAGATATATTACCGGGAATGTCATTATTTCCCTTTTCTTCGTACGTTTTGGACTAAATGCCCTTAAATTTTTTTTCTCAAAAATATTCTTCTTCTGTCATTGAATAATAAAAATTTTACGAAGGTTAAATTATAAATTTATCCTTAAATTATTTTTAGATTTACAAAAAAATATATATATAATTCAAATTTTATATGAAGTTCAGGGGTTAAAATAAAATTTTACCATTTCATTAAATCATTTTATATTTTTAATTTTGTAAAAAATATATATATATTTTATTAATTTAAATTTTTTAAATAAAATGTATAAATATTTTTCAACTTGTTAAAAAATCAAATAAATAATAAGGACAATTTGGTCAAATATATATTCTAATAATTTTTTATTCCTCTAACCAAACACGATAATCTTACATTCCTGCTAAATCAACCAAACATAAATACAACATTCCCAGTAATCCTATTAACTGATAATCTTATATTCCGTGAATCAAACGCATCCTTAATGTATTGTATTATTCTGGTTTGATTTTTTCCGGGTGACATAATTTGTAATTGTTTTATATAGAATTAAAATCATTGTATGTTCAATGTTTAAAACAGTTATTTAAAGAAACAATGAAAAAGGAACTGTCCGATTAATTTATTCGCTACTAATATTTTATTTTGAAATCAATTAGAAGAAATAATAGACAAATCTATGACTTTATCTGCTGATTGTTTGTACGGGATTTTTGTTTAGCCTTTTTTTTATTTTTGTGTACGCAGTTCCTAGTTAATACTCCGTGATGGGCAAGGAGAAGTCTCACATTAACATTGTGGTTATTGGCCATGTCGACTCTGGAAAATCGACCACCACTGGGCACTTGATCTACAAGCTTGGAGGAATTGACAAGCGTGTCATTGAGAGGTTTGAGAAGGAAGCTGCTGAGATGAACAAGAGATCATTCAAGTATGCCTGGGTGCTTGACAAGTTGAAGGCTGAGCGTGAGCGTGGTATCACCATTGATATTGCCTTGTGGAAGTTTGAGACAACCAAGTACTACTGTACTGTTATCGATGCCCCTGGTCATCGCGACTTCATCAAGAACATGATTACGGGTACCTCTCAGGCTGACTGTGCTGTCCTTATTATTGACTCCACCACCGGAGGTTTTGAAGCCGGTATTTCCAAGGATGGGCAGACCCGGGAGCATGCTCTCCTTGCCTTCACTCTTGGTGTCAAGCAAATGATTTGCTGCTGCAACAAGGTTAAATTTTGCTTAAATATAATGTTCTATGGCTTGAGTTTCAGCTTAGTTATTATTTAATTGGTTTTGTTCTAATATTTCTGTTAATTTCTGCACAGATGGATGCCACAACCCCCAAATACTCCAAGGCAAGGTATGATGAAATTGTTAAGGAAGTTTCTTCCTACCTGAAGAAGGTTGGATACAACCCCGAGAAGATCCCATTTGTCCCCATCTCCGGTTTCGAGGGTGACAACATGATTGAGAGATCCGCCAACCTGGACTGGTACAAGGGTCCAACCCTCCTTGAGGCTCTTGACCAGATCAATGAGCCCAAGAGACCCTCTGACAAGCCCCTCCGTCTCCCACTTCAGGATGTCTACAAGATTGGTGGCATTGGAACTGTCCCAGTGGGTCGTGTCGAAACTGGTGTTCTCAAGCCTGGAATGGTTGTTACATTCGGACCTACTGGATTGACCACTGAAGTTAAGTCCGTTGAGATGCATCATGAAGCACTTCAAGAGGCTCTCCCCGGTGACAATGTTGGGTTCAATGTGAAGAATGTTGCCGTCAAGGATCTCAAGCGAGGGTACGTTGCCTCAAACTCCAAGGATGATCCTGCCAAGGAGGCAGCCAACTTCACCTCCCAAGTCATCATCATGAACCACCCAGGTCAGATCGGAAACGGTTATGCACCCGTCCTCGATTGCCACACCTCCCACATTGCTGTCAAGTTTGCCGAACTCGTGACCAAAATTGACAGGCGGTCCGGTAAGGAGCTCGAGAAGGAGCCTAAGTTCTTGAAGAACGGTGATGCCGGTATGATCAAGATGGTTCCCACCAAGCCCATGGTTGTCGAAACCTTCGCCACATACCCTCCGCTCGGACGTTTTGCTGTTAGGGACATGAGACAGACCGTTGCAGTTGGTGTCATAAAGAACGTGGAGAAGAAAGACCCAACTGGAGCCAAGGTGACCAAATCTGCCGTCAAGAAAAAATGAACCTCGAGGGTTTTGGTTGATTCAACCGAAGTTCATCACGGTTACTACAATAAAGCATTGGTTGAAGCTGGTAGGTGCATCATGGGATTCTTAGTTACATGTTTTGATGGTTTAGTTGGGTGTTTCGATTTTTCGCCGTCGTGTCGAGGGTACTGTTCGCAGAACTGGGTTCTTGATCGGCGGTGGAGAGGTTTCATCTTTCAGAGTCAGTAGTGTGTCGTCGTCTTCAAACGTTTTTTTTTAGTTATATATAAAACTACAATGCTGTCCAGCCCAGGTCTGTTCCTGGGCTTTTTTCTCGAATCAATGGTATTTAAGCGTTTTATATTATCCCAGCCTTTATATCTTGTGTTATGATCTTTTCTGGTTATACCAATGATTTAATCAAAGTAATATAAAATTAAATTTATTTATTTAAAATTTAAATCAAATTAATAAAATATATAAATACTAAGAATTTAATGTATTTTTTTGGTTATAGGAACACAAGAAACTAGTCCCTAGACAAGGGAAAGACAAAAAAAACCGTCGATAAAATATAGATATATACAGATATAATTGCATCGATAAATGAATTACAATAAGAGATCAAATTATTGAAAGATCACCGAAAATCACAAATTATAGTCTAAAGTTGTGAGAAAGTAATCTCTAAATAAATTACTTTCAAGGTTGATAAATGAATTACAACAGATGGATTAAACTACTTAAAGACCATCGAAAATCGTAAATTATGTCTAACGTCATGAGAAATAAAAAAATATATAAAGTGATATATAAAAAAATAGATGAAAATCATGAAATGTCAACGAACCAACAAAGCAAACCTAGAGATCAATATATTTTTTCATCCTTCTATCATTTCCGTTTATAATGTGATGGCGAGTGATCAAATAACAATGTATAGTAGTAATAACTAAATTGAGAAGTATTTAAAATTGAATGATTAAAATAGATATTAATCAAAAGTTTGGTGACTATTCAGAGAATTTTCTCTAAACTAAAAGAGACAAACGAATCATTTTTCAGCTTTTACTTTCACTTCCAACACTTAAAAAAAAAAGTGAACGAACAAAGGCGAAGATCATCCGAACCAGCAAAGCTTGAAGGATTTTTCATTCCTTTCTTCATCATCATATCCGGTAATCCGTCTCTAATCTCATCTCTTTGGAGTTCATGGATTATGCTTTCCCCCCCTATTATTTGTTTAAAAAAGTGGAATCTTGAATATTGGCCATCTAGACATTGAGCTTTTACCTTCTTATGATGAAAACCCAGGAGTTATTTGATATGGGCTTTCTTCATTTTTGTTTAATAAGTGTTAAAATGACATTTGTTTCCCCTTTTTTTGGGTAGAAAATGGAAAACCCAGAGGCAAATCAACTTCCTGAAGTGGATTCGTTGCCTGATGGTTTTGTTGAGAGTCCTTCAGATCCTTTGGCTCCTAAAACTCCAGTTTTGGAACAGGAAAAACCTTCGGAACCTGATTATAAAGAAGATGGCTTAGTTGCCAATGAATTTGGAGCAAGAAAGGGCCTGAAGCAAAGAACTTTTCCTGTTCCATTGTCTGAAGTTGATACTTTTGATAGTTATTTGGATTCTGTTGACGGTAAATTAGTCGGTCACGTGGCGCCCAGCCGTTCCATTCCTGAGGCTGCAAAGGTTGAGGCGACAGAATTCAGTGAGATGAAAGGAGAACTTAAAGGGGAGTCCCAAACTACAGTAAGATGTAATTTCTCTAACTTTCAGATGAATAAGTGCATTTTTAGGCATTAGAACCCAGGACTTAAATTGCGATTAAGGTCGCATTTTCGGTTGCTTTGCGTTTATCGCGATTGTGGCAATAGCCGGTCCTATTGCGTGTGTTGAGGGTATCACTGTCGTATAATAACGGCTTCAGGCAACACCTTTACCGCTATACAACGGCCACTATTCCGATAGCGGGCCGCTATTTAAATCCATTGTTAGAACTCTTATATTGCATGAAAATTGAGAAGCTGAAAACAAATCTATTAAGAACATTTTGTATGTGTGCTTTTGTGTGTATGTCTATCCAGTGTGTGTGTGTGTGTGTCCAGTTGATCTACAGACTATAAGCAAATTTTCTTCTTCTATGGAAGGGTTTTTTCTTATAGTTTGATGTCTTTGGTTACCACTCAAAAAGTATTGAGAAGCAAAGAATTCGATTTTAACATACTATTACAAGTAACGGTATACCCGATGAAAGAAAAAAAATAAAAGAAATTGAAAATAACTTCTATGAGGTCTTTTTCTTTTCATATATGTCTTGTATAAAAAGCCTGCTTAAGTACATCAGACATGCTCCTGGTCAAATCTGCCTCATCCAAAATGATATGAGGTGATTTTTTTATCTAGTGCTAAAGCCCAATGCCTAGGCACATGCCTTAGTACTACTTTTTCAATTTTAAACTTGGATGGTTTTTAGGTTTTCTAGTGCTCATTAGTGTTTTGTTTTTCGCTGCAGGTGAAGGAGGATCAGAAACTAAATCTACTAACTTGAAGGAAACATATTCATCGGAGAGTGTGGATTCTGCGAAGAACAAAAAAACAGTTAGTAGATCATAGCACATGACTAAGTTCTTTCGAATTGTTATGTTTGTGGAACCGTCCATTCTCTAATTTTTTATCCCGAGGCTGTTGGTAACTTTGGCTGGTCGCGTATTTTTCTTTTCTTTTCTAGAGGGTACTCTTTATCGCAATTCTAGATGATTAAATAATGTTCGTTTCAAGGAGAATAGGAAAACCATTTGATCATGCATATTAGAAGAGGTCTTCAGTTGCAATGGTGATAGTTCATAAATATGTTAATGTTGCATTTTTCCAAGAGTATGACAGTCAGTTCATTGAGGTTCAGTTAATTCTGAGTTCACTTCTATATGCTTATTTTATATCATTTTCATCTATATAAGTGAACTCACCGGTTTATTTATTAGGAAACCATCGAAACCAAACGCAAGAATGCAAAACGTACATTAAAATCTGAAAAGGAATTTCTCGAGTTCTCTTTCACATATCAACAAGTTCTCGCAGAAAGAGATTCAGGTAAGTTGAAATAACATTTTATGATGCCCAAAAAGACACTATTCTCTGTATCAAATGATGTGATGAATATGTAGGTCTAGTTTACCTAAGACCAAAATTTATCGATCCTTCATGATAGTACGAGTTGTTTTGATGTGAATATACCTTTTGTTGCCAACAATGATACTTGTCCATTAAGTTTGAAAACTGGTTTTTATATATGCTATATGTTGGGTGTATACAATTTCTGCGTGTTCAGTTTGCAAATATAAATATAAATTTATTAATTAAATTTGAGTGTTCAAGTATGATAACTATTGCCACGATCTCTAATAGGCACGTATGGCACACTGGTGAATATTATAATCTCTCTCAATATCTTTGACATCACGGAACTGATTTTTGTTTCTGTGCGTACTCGTGTAGCTATTGCTGTCCGAGATAAACTTGAATCACTTTGTAGGGAGTTACAACGGCAAAACAAAATGTTAATGGTATGTTCTCTTTGGATGCTTTTGTCACTTTTTGATTTATTGCATCCTACTGAGTATTTGTTCTTGGTACACTTTGCACCGAGTATGTTGACCTTACAATTATGTTACAAACCAACCATAAAATGATATAAGTAACGGTTCTGATCTCAACTGTACTTCCTCTATAAAGTTGCACTTACAAACATTTTTTGAACCCCTGGTTTCTTCCGTAAGCGCTTGGCGTACTTTTAATCAAGTGACGGTAAATCTGCAGAACAAATTTAATTGAGGAAAGCAACACTCCTTTAGTTTTACCATTAATTTTGATATATTTGAGATCGTTAATGGCGAATTTTTTATAGCTGTCTTTTAAAAACCTTCAATTTCCACGTCAAATATATTATTATATATACTTGTCCTTTTTGAGCTATTTGTCTTTCTTTTAAGAAGCTGCTGATGAGTTTGTTCATGATTTCACAGGATGAATGCAAACGGGTATCAACAGAAGGGCAAGATATAAGATTAGATTTATCAGCGAGGTTCCATAATGCGATCAAGGTTTGATGCCCCCGTTTTGATTTTGAAAGCGATCTTGGTGGATATACTGACCTACATGCTGACTGGTCCATCTCTCTGTAGTTATATTACTTCCTAATATCATTTTCTTAACTGCCAAACATGATTGATACCATGAAAAGAGTTTGCATAGCATATATGTAGCATAGGTCAACAGAGATGATATGTTAAAAGCAAGATAAATGGTAAAGAGAACTGTGTTGTAACTCATCAAGATAGTACTGCAAGTCTATTAGTTGAATCGAGAGTTGAAAACTGCATCTCATGTTGGATGATTCTATGTTAATAGGACTCGAGCTTAAGTGCCGGGTACTGAAAGAGATTCACCCTAAACATATTTTACTGGTAGTTTCTTAATCTTCTTTTTTCCCCTTCATATAGGATGTGACCAATAAGATGGAAGAGCAGAAGAATGAGTGTCTATCTCAATTGAAGGAGAATGAGATGTAAGAAACAGGAATTGCATGTCTAATTATAACAAATATTGTCCTTCAAGATTGGTAACATCTATACTCTGAAAGTTATCCAAAACACCAAATTATACATGTTCTGTATTCTGGTTCTTTTGTTTTTTTTCCCTTTTCCCAATGATCATTTGATTCGGACATCTGATCTTACTTTAGGGGTTTTCAAATATATCGGCTTTTCCAAGTAAATTTCTACAGAGTTCCTGCTATCTGGGAAAGCATCGTCACACTTATATCATTTATTTTGATTTAACCTATTGTTTTACTTCCAGTTTGTCACCACTCAGAACTTTGGAATTCTTCATGTATAGGTTAAGAGAGAAGTTGAAGCAGTTTGCCGATCAATATGCTCTCTCTGAACAACATTTTGAACAAAAGGTACGGGTTAAATTTACCGGTATAATGAAGGTTTTCCATCTCAAAATAGAATCAAATTGTGTTGTCTAGAACCGTGAGATTAACCTATGTTTTGGACATTCAACACAGCTAAAGCAGAAAACACTAGAACTAGAGCTTGCTGATCTAAAAATTAAACAACATGAAGAGAAATTGGTTCAAGAAAAAACGCAGATGAAAGTATATGCAGAGCAAGTGTCACAGTTATTGGCAACTGAAAAGAACTTGCGCACTCAGTTGACAGCCGATGGAGAAAAATTCCAACAGTTTCAGGTCAGATTCTTTCCATGTCATTTACCATTTCGGTTTCAGTGGCAGTTTTTTCCTTTTTTTTCCTCTTTAAACTGATGAATACAGATATTAGGTATTGAGTGCTTATATCATTTGTCTTGGATGGCTGACACCGGATTTCAGTTAAGAGGTCTAAATGGAAGGTTTGTTGTCACATGCGCAATATCATGATTCAGTAGGAAACTACAATCCAAGTGATTTTGCTAACTGAAAACTAGTGAAGTATCTATGTCTAATACCTGTTTCCGATGCATATCCGAATGTAGATATGGGGATACGGCTCTTAAAAGATCCTACAAATACATTAAAAAGCTTTAAGAAATTGTGCTTTCGTTGTAGGAATAATAGTGGAAAGCTTTTTTAATACCTTTGTAGGCAACTAAGAAGTCATTCATTGTATGCACTTCACTGGTCCGACATCCTCTGCATATCGAATGCCAAGATGCAGCAATACTGAAATCTGATTAGTGTCTACATGCCCTTTTGTCTTACCGTTGGTATTTGAACCTATCTCATCTTCGTTATGTTTGAACTCTGCTTAATTTTGCAGGATGCCTTGATAAAGAGCAATGAGGTATTTGAAACATTTAAGCAAGAGATTGAAAAGGTACATTATTTGCCTTCTACCTTTAAGAGTCAACATATTCCTTAGAGCACAAGTTTTCTCAGTTTTTTGCATGGTTTGACTCATGCTATGTCAGTCCGGCTCTTCATATTTCTTGAAGTTCCCATGTCCAAACTTACGTACGGAGATATGATGCCCTAGTGACTCTTGAAATACATGGAAATATCGTGTAAAACGAACATATCAATGTCTGATACATAATCACGTTACACATTCGTACCCGAATCCAAGTCCCCATGTTGTGTTATGATTTCTGTTCAAGTCACCAACTATTTCCCCCCCTTTTGTATACAAATTAGATGGGAAAATCAATCAAGGAACTGAAGAAGGAAAATGTATTCTTGAAGAGCAAATGCGACAAATCCGATGTTACTCTCATAGAACTTGTGGAGGAGGTACACAGTTTAAGATCAGTTTTAAGCTTTCATTCTTTAGGAATCATAATCTGTTTCAACAAGAGTTTACCTGCTACTAATTGTTATTCATCTTTGCTCGAGCAGCGCGAGCTATTGAAGAAACAATTGGATAAGACAAGGAACCAGAAAGAAAAGCTCGAATCATTGTGCCGATCCCTTCAAGCAGAGAGGAAGTAAAGCTCCTCCGGAGGCAACAGCCTTGATTCCATGACAATTTGAATGCAAACATGTTATTTAACCGAATATGAATGCATGTCTTATTATTATTATTATGGTTTAAATTGTCATCTTTCCTGTTCATCAAGAAAAGGAAATCGATATCGTTCTCTTACGAGTTTTTCAAGTACCCTATTTCATGCATTTTGGCTATGAACTTGTGTGTTATTTTGGATTATGTTATCATGCTCTAGTGAATATCTTCTTATTTATATACGAGCGTTCCTAGTTGATTTGCTGATGAGTGTTGGAAGATTTTATTCATTGTTGAAGCTTTAGAGAGAGACTTGGTGGTGATAGCTGCTTCATGGTCATGTAATTGGAGGTTGAAATTGTTTGACGTACGATGTTAACCTCTTTTAATTTAGACAGAAGAATCACAATTTATAACAATGAGATAAAAATTATGGGTCTGAGCTCTTTATACATTCGGTCTCTTTGAGTCATGTAACATCGGGTAAAATTGGCCTAATAAACCAAAAAAAATAACTCATTAAGCCATCTCCAAAATTAATTTGGGATACAGTGAAAGGTAAACTCGTTACGCTCATATGATAAATTTGTCCAAATAATATTTTTTTAATCGTGCTCACCATGTCAAAGTGAGAAGTTCCCAAAATTCTAGACATAACGAGTTTCAAGTCGCCTAGACATGACAAGTTTTAAGTCACTGTAACGAATGTTGTAGTTCCCAAAATTAAAATTCTTATGCCGTAATAGACTAAACAATTAACCGCATATAGTATTAGGTCAAAATTGCCTGTAACATCGCCGTATGGACTGAAGGTTTACCAGTACGTACGGATAGGCACGGGCGAGCGGAGCTTTAGGCTGCCTCGGCCCCGACCTAAAATTATATTATTTAAACTCGACCCTATCCCATCCAATTTTTAAATTAAAAAAAATTCTAACCTAACCCAACCCAATATATTAATATTTTAAAATAATATATTTTAAATTATTATTATATTTTAAATTATTAAAATATATATAATAATTTTATATTTTTAATAATCAAAGAATATATTTTCATAATATAAAATTAAAAACCCCTTCCTAATTTAAATATATTACATAAAAAATTAATAATTTAAACCGAATCGGACCGATTGATTTTTTTCACCTTAAAACCAATCTTATTTTTAAAAAAAAAAAACCACCCTATAGGGTCGGGCCAAGACCTGTCGGACTCTTGACTTTTTGACCATCCCTTCTAATAGGTCGCTTGAGATTGTCTTCTCAGGACTATTCTGGATGTACAAGAAACAGCAAAATAACAGTATTGCCCCCTAAACTTTTGACAGATTATGTGTATTTTTCCATCAAATACAACTGCTGCAAATATTACAAAGGCCACCTGATATGTTTTCTTTCTTAGCCCCCCCCCCCCCCCAAAAAAAAAAAAAACTTTCAGGACTTGAGACTGCTTGCCCTTATCATCATGACTTTCATTAGAAAAAAAACCCTATTATACAGTGCAGCAAAGAGTCATTGCTGCTGAGGAATTTGGTTTCTACTACCTGCGTATGTTCATGTCCCCCTTACCTCTCCACGTCGACTCCTCTTCCCTCGTCCTGCTCCCACTCTGCCCACCATATGGTTCCGTTTTAGCAAACTGCATCCTAAGCACCGCTACGGGATCCGAAAGTTTTGAGCACGAGCCCCCTACGACTCCTCCTCCTCCTCCGGTCCCCATTACATTCATTCCAACCATTCCCCTTCCCCGCTGCTGTAAATTCGAGACTGCATCAAAACCATTATTTTGTCTTTGCTTCTCGGAGAACATTCCTTGTTGCTGCTTTACATCTGCGGTAAATGGTGCTACCTTGGTACAATCATGGCCCCTGTACGCTTGATAATCCGTCACAGTGCCATTGCTGTTTATTTCCCTAGGAGTAAAAACTGAAACACCATTCAAGTTTCTGTCGGTATTCCGAAAGGTCTGTGATGCCTGCTGCTCCATTTGAGATGATGATGAAGATGAATAATTAACAAATGCACCAGGATACTTTGCCACTAAAATAGCAGAGTCTGGCAAAGATGACAACCCAGTTTGTATCCTGTTGCCATCCCATAAACCATAACTTCTCCTGGGAACATTTTCCGGTGCAAAACTGATGTTCTCGTCGAACTTTGATAAAGATCCATTTCCACCAACATTTTTACATGATGTCAAGTTCAAATCTGAATACTTCGCACTTTTCGAGAAATGGACCACCTTTTCATCGTCTTGGGAGCTCGAATTGAGTATCTGGCCAAATAGCTTGACATTCCCATTCCTGCAAGGTTTTTCTGTATCCGACAGACTCCAAAAGTGGGATTTCTGCCTGCTGTTTGCTTGCTCTGATTTTTGTACCAGTCGTGGAAGCTCAGCAGCTGGCTTTGGACTATTGCATTTATGAAGATAATCATGAGCCAAAAATGAACCAGCCACACCCCTTTCCGATGGTGAACGCCTTTTAAGCTCAGCTAGCTGACTACACCCTACATCATCATTTATTTCTTTCAAATTTGAGATTTGCAGTTCAGCAAGATCCACCAAGGGCTCTCCAGAAAATTGCGCTGACACATGCCCACTAGCATCTTGTGAGAGTGTTTGTCTTTCTTCTCCGGATAAGCAAGGGTTGATGACAACTTATCTTGGTTGCATATGTTCTCACATTGAGAGGTATCAGAATCATGTAATACAGAAATTTTAGCGAAAGAGCTTTCATCAGGGAATAATAAGATAGAAGGCTTTCCGGCAGAACCCAAGTCAAGAGGGACTTGATGCAGAACTTTAGCGTCAAAATTTTTATCAATGGACTCATCACCAGTTCTATTTGAAACCGGCCTACATATAATTTGACTGCCAGTCTCCGCACTGCATTTTGCATCACATTCATTCGTACCATTTTTGGACAAAAATGTTTCTGTGCCTCCAAATTATTTTGAAACCCCTCAGTAGACAAAGCAGCATCAGATTTGGGCTCAACCGATGCATCTAAACTAGAAAGACAAGGACCAACTGACTCCCCATGAGATGCGGCTACAGCGAGAGGAACACCCCGTTCGACAACGTGCTTTCTTAGAGAGCTTAAATTGGCCAAGGCAACACTTATCTGAACCTGTAGTGATTCAGCCGCTTTGTTCTCAAATCCATAGCATCAGCACCATCTTCAGAAATTGACCCAGTCAGGTCTACATCAGAAAAAATATCTTCCACTGCCTCAGTGTTTTGGTGATCTACTAGCCTCCCGTCATTTCCCTCTGACATGATCAGATCAGTTTGCAAACTCACTTCCTGGTAGGATCCGATTCATCCAAATTCATGCTCATAATACTGGGAGGTAAGTCGTCTTCCACATTAGATCCCAACTTATCACCACAAATAACTGAGCTCTCTTGGACACAAGCATCTTCAGTATCAGTACCACCAGCATTCGCATCATCACTCAGGGGAGTACAAGTGTTCCTTGTTGTTGGGTGTATCAAGTCAAGCCCAAGGCATTTACGAGCCTTACTGAAGAAAACCTTGCACTGATCCCTGGATCTTGTACAACATATTGTGAAATCATATCAAAATCCTTACCATAGGCTGAGACAGCCTGTATAAAGAGGATTTTCCTCATCAGTCCAATGAGCAGAAACCATTTCCCCACAAGTTTCATCTGAAAAAGCATCCTCGTCGGCATTCTGCAAGACATCAGATGTTGAGGGCTTTTTAACCACAGAATCAACTTTGTGGCACTTCCGGTCATGATGGTAACCCTCTCCAGGGCCAGCACTAGTGATACAGGAACTCATTGCCTCTGAAGAGAGAGAACCGCATATACCAGCTAAAACATCAGCAGCAACGGTATCTTGATCACTTCCAGCAATATCAAAATTAGATGACCTTATAACAATGCTATCATCAACTCCAGATGTTTTAGAAACAAACCTCCCTCCTAAAACGATCCTACCAGAAGATTATGCCTGTTTTGAATGCTACTTTCGGCATGAGCGGCTATAACTGGAATTGCACCAAGAATACCATGCGATGCTGTATTTTCACGACTCCGTTTTTTCCCCGATGTCAACAAGTAGGTATTCACAGCAGACTTCCCTGCTTACTGGGATCATTCTTGTTCTTTGTTTTCTCAAAACATTCAGACTTGTGATCTTGTAATAGAACTCAACCAGTCTGCAGTAGTCTTGTGATCAAGAAAGGAGGCAATCTTTCTGAAGTCCTTCCCAAAGGCAGCCAACTTATCTATGAAAATTTCCTTCTCCTCTGATGTCCAAGGATTGATCAAAGCTCTTTCCTTCTCAATAGTTAATGGATCTTCAACCAATCCGTTACTAGAGATAAACCTCGAAACTTCTTCTCTTTATCATCCAAAATTAATGCGGGCATTTTCAAGCATTCCTGTGAGTTCTGCCATGGGAATCTAGAAGTAGTTTCTAGTAAAATTGATCATCTCTGCACTAGGTTCCAGGACCAGGTTTCCAGCTACAAAAACAACCCCAAATATTATTTATAATATCATCACCAATAACTTCATCTTTAAGAAACAATTTTCAAGAACAGAAACCGGAAAAAAGAAGACAAATTTAAAAGAATATCAAAGTCAAAAGCCACATGCTTACTATATTTACTAGGAATAAAAAAAATTGTGAACAGTTACAATCATTAGGAATACTGATTTCTTAGGTGAAAGCATTTCAGTTTAAAAAAAAATATAGGAAGGTAATACATACATGTGCTTTTATCAATTCCACCAGGAAAATTGAAGCAATCAAGCAAATGCTAGCCATGATTAAAACATCCAATTTCAAATAAGATAGATCTTGAAGACCATGATTCTTTAAAAAAAAATGTTCAAAATACATCACAGATATGAATTGACTATCAATCATTTGCAGAGGTAATAAAATTCAACCAAATCAAATATGTTGATCACATATTCTTGAAGGCAAGCAATCTGTGCTAACAGCGCATCACTGACATGCAGTGACACCAAATTAACAAATTCCAACTTCCAAGTATTCATAATAAGTGGAATGAGTTTCACCAGACAGGTCAAAGTACGGTTACCTTCTACTTACCCGAGTTATTAAAAAATCTCCACTAAAACCCCAAATCTCTAACACCATTAATGATTGGCCATTAGGTAAATGCTATAAAAGCAATTTGTAACAAAGAGAAAATAGAAATGATTAAAAAAAATTAAGAGATAACTAGAAACTTAGTAACATTCGCATAATAAATCTCTCACATGATTGTTGTTCATGATATAGAACAATGAGCAGTCTTCCAGTGTAGCGTTGTGCAATTCTTTATCCGAAAGGGTTGTCATGGAAGTTTTTGTATGCCTCGATAGTGTTGATTACTATTTGATTTAATAAACTGAACACAGTTTCTTGAATTGCCTTGATCTACCATATCGACATCTATTCTTGGGATGACAGATCTAAACCTAGATATCCACTTGTCTTCACAAAAGAAATCTACCTAATAGTCTCCTTTTCCATTCAAGATTTCCCTTTATTTCAAATACTGATTTCTAGTAATACTTCTATAATAAGTTCATTTCAATAAAAATTGCAAAAGGCATATCACAGTTTAAACTTATGATAAATAATCCTCAAGACTTACCTTACATGCATTCAAGGAGACAAATGATCAAAGATAAAAGGTAATTGGAAAGAGATAACAGATGAGAGAAGAGGAAACAAAATGAAGTGTTACGTGATCTGAAATTATGCCATTCAAAACCACATGCAAATCACAACAAACTGGAATAAAAAATAAACCTTCTAAACAGGAGGCTCAAACAATTACCAGGAGAAGTAACTCGAGAATGAATGGAGGATCGTGCTTGGTAGCCACCATGAATTGAATGTAAACTTAATTCATTCTTCTTCTGAGACTTCGCACGACATTTTCATTGAAAGTGAATCAATATTCTTCCTTCCATGCATTTTGAAATGTTTTGAATTAAGTGCCAAAACTCTCTCCTTAAATCTTAAGCACTGCTTCCTCATTGCAATTTTTTTCCTGATTCTGGTATCAGGCTGCATACATGCTACATTAGCAATTTCAGAAATCGCAACTCCATAAAAATCTTTTGGCAATAGTTTATTAAATACTCAGAAGCTACATTAGCCAATTCCTTATTAGCAGCCATATTATTTCGTACATAACATTCTCTCCACCAGCATCAGATCTCGAATATTCAGAACAGGTGCATCATTATCATCTTTGAAGCACACTGCCTTCCAACAGAATGGTCACCGCAGTCCCTTCATACCTGAACCGGTAAGAACAGAACCCAAATCACCAGAGCACTCGGGAACTTAACAATATTAGATGGAGAAAAATGCTTTTTCCAAAGATGATGGTTCCACAAAACTAGAAGTTGCCAGGAATATCAATATCCTCATCTTTAACATAATTAACTTCTACCAGTACAGTATTACAAAGGGGCCCGTTTCCACAAGAGCATCAGCACAAGTATCAATCTTCAGAGGGGCAGGTAGAGGGAACATACTGGATGGAGCCTCTTGTTCCCCACATGCTCTCCATGTTTCTCAGCAGGAAGAGAACTATATGTTGCTGGGCAAGGACATTACATCTAGAATCACCTTTCAACGATTTGAATTCATTTTTCAAGTGAACTCATTTCAGATTCAGTCATCTCCAAAACCTTTAAAAAACATCACCTTTCACTAGTAGCAACTTATTTATTGCTGTAGAGCTAACAAAACTAGAATCTACTGTACAAGGATCATCATGTTGAAGCAAATTAATAAGTGAAGAGCCCATATTAATAATTGAATTGATATCCAATTTCTCTAAATTAAAAGATGGTCCTTCTAGATAACTTTGAGACCCAATGCTTAGAGAACCACGTAAATACTAATATCGTTATCAATATTTGCAGCTTGCCAAATGATTTTTCTTCCCACCTGCAAAAACGGGACCATTGTGGGAATAAATAGAAAGCATCGTCATCACAATCAATACAGGGAGAAAGAGATAATTTAACATTCAGCAATTTCACATTCTCCAATTAATTTAAAAATAAAAAAAAAACTAATTCAGACATGGTTTGTAAACTATAGGGGCAAACATCCAATATAAAACCAACTGTCAATGAGTGGAAGGACCCAAGTTAAGTATAAGACCACAAGAAACCCAATTCTGAATAGATGTGAGATAAAAACAACATAGCATCCGAGATGTAGCTCCACAAAGGCTCCCATGTAAACGCACAGCGGTCTGGAGTCATCAACCATAGAGAGAAAAGAAACAAGGATTTTTAATACCAAGTCAAACACCCAACATATAGAACTGAGGCTTTGTTTCACATTCTTGAACGCCCAACCAATTATTAATAAGAGGGTAACACCATTTAAGAATGTAAAACTTAAATAAGAAAACAACTAAAGAAAAAGCGGTCTGGAGTCATCAACCATAGAGAGAAAAGAAACAAGGATTTTTAATACCAAGTCAACACCCAACATATAGAACTGAGGCTTTGTTTCACATTCTTGAACGCCCAACCAATTATTAATAAGAGGGATAACACCATTTAAGAATGTAAAACTTAAATAAGAAACAACTAAAGAAAAGTTGGTCATTAGCATGAACGCACAGAAACAGAAGTTTCTTCTAACACATGGTTACATGGGTCCAGTTCTCAGATGGAACAACCAATCTAGCAAGATATGTGACTTTTCCATCCTTAATAACAGGCCCTATAATTGATATAGATAGGCTACATGGATGATTACTGAAACCTAGGAACTGATAAAAGGAAAATTGCTATCACCTCATAAAATCAAGAGTACACAGATAGAGTTTGCTCTGAGTGGGAAGAAGAAAGTCAAGAATGCACAGTGCTCAAATAGTGATACTAAGCATGGAAACCACGAATTATCATGCCAATGAAAAAATCTGTTGAACTTTTCCAAGGCATTAAAAAGGTGTATTAGATCGTATAGTGACAACAACAGTGTTCTATGCATAATTTAATTGGCATGCAGGCCTGCTAAAACGCTTGTGAATACTTTGGACATCGTCCAACCCTATAATACTCGTGTTAAAAAGGTCAGGCGGCATAATGATGAATCAGGAACATCTTATCAAACAAACAGTCATGCTGAGTTATTGCTTCTATATAATCGAATAAGAACCGTCAGTTATTGCTGCCATATAAGAGAATAGTCATAAAAGCACATTTTTTAGGTAATGCTTAAACAGAATAAATATACAAGTGAATCTAATAT